TTCCTTCCTTCCTTCCTTCCTTCCTTCCTTCCTTCCTTCCTTCCTTCCTTGGTACAGGGACTCACGATGCAGCTCAGACTCATAGTGATCCTCCTGTCTTAAGTCTCCCCAGCACTGGGATTACAAGCGGGCCCCACCACACATGCATTACTAGGGATGGAACTCGGACCCTTGAACTTGCTAGGCAGGTGCTTAGACCACTAAGCTATCTGCCCAGCCCCACTGAGCGATTCTTAATAAATTTCCAGGTTTTTTTGGTGGAACTGGGGATTGAACTCAGGCCCTTGCACTTGCCAGGGAAGCGCTTATTCTACTAAGCCATCTCCCAGCCCCCCCTTTTTTTTTAATTTTTTTTTTAGAGCATATCACTAATTACTTTTTTTTTTTTTTTTTTTCAGTACTGGGGATTGAACTCAAGACCCTGCACTTGCCAGGGAAGCGCTTATTCTACTAAGCCATCTCCCAGCCCCCCCTTTTTTTTTTAATTTTTTTTTTTAGAGCATATCACTAATTACTTTTTTTTTTTTTTTTTTTCAGTACTGGGGATTGAACTCAAGACCCTGCGCTTGCCAGGCAAGCACTTATTCTACTGAGCTATCTTCCTGGCATTATTAAATTTCCTAACAAAGATTTTATAGCCCACATACTTTGATCATAATCAAATAACACACAAACAATAACATTACCAAATGGGTGGGACCAAACCTGCTTGGAAATCAAGAAAATCCCTTCTAAATAACCCGTCAATCAAAGAAGAAATCAAAACTGATATATATTATCAAGAAAGCAATAAAAATTATACATTCAGAGACCAGAGTTCAATCCCTACACTACATGCCATGCGTGCCCTGCCCCACTGAGGCAGGGCGTGGTGGCACACACCTGTAATCCCAGCACTGGGGAAGCTGAAAACAGGAAGATCACTACAAGTTTGAGCTGCGTAGTGAGACCCTATTCCAAATACATAAAAAAATAAAAATTATACATTATATAGAATCTATTCTTAAGTAATATATTATGTTAAATGCATTTATTTGTCTTACTAAGGATTGAACTGAGGTCTTCAAACTGAACTAGCCTCCCAGCCTCTTTATTATTTATTTCGAGATAGTATCTAAATTTCCCAGTCTGGCTCCCAAACCATAGTCCCCTTGCCTCAGCCTCTGGGATTACAGGCATGTGGCAATGTATCTGAGCAAGTGGACCGATAGTCTTAAATATCCCCAAAGAAAAATGGATTAATGATGGGAAAAATGACAAAAGAGGAAGCCCAAATAGCCAAAAACCATGAGAAACTATTCAATTTCAATAGTAGTCAGGACATGATTGTAGAGATTTGTTGGTCTTTCAGTGTGATCCATTGTACCTGGGGAGAAAACTGGGCAGGAATAAGGAAAACACAGACAAGAAGACAAGAGCTGGGTTAGGTGGTGATTCATCTGCCTAGCTGGCAAGCAGACCCCCTGAACAAAAGCAGGAGCCTTCATTTACAGTTACAAAATTGCCAGACACAAGGTTGCCTAGTGACTAACAGCCCATACATTGTCCAAGCAGGATGTTTTTCTCAAGACTGAGGTAGCTTGATTGCTTCAGGCGATGGGACCTCATCCTGCCCTCCCACATAGGATAAAATTCCCGACACATGAGAATTAAAACAAAAAAATGAAATCCATTTTTCATGCTAGGGTAGATCCACCAGGCTAAAGTTTGCAATTGGATCAGTGGGAGGTTTTCAGGAGATCTCAGCAATGAGCAAAGTGAGGACCACAGAGGACATGAAAAGGGATTTCACTCACCAGAGGTCAATGTTAAAAAACAAATCACACCACCAATGAAAGATACATAAAAGAAGAGAAAATGCCATATTCACTTACCTAGTCCACCAAGATTTCTATAAATAATAATGCCCAATGTCCTGCAGCTGAGGGAATAGACACATGGTGGCATCTTCTGGAATTTAATACATCAAAAATCTTAACATACATAGGCGTTGACTCTGTAATTCTACATCTATAAACTTCCTTATGAAAAGAAATTAATACAAAAATGCATATATGGGTGTTTGACAGCTAGTCTATCTCCTAACAAGGGACTTGAGTCTCAGATGACCAGAATACTGAATGACACTGTATTAGTACTGACCCAAGGAAAACAAGCGAGTCATAGTCTTTTTTTTTTTAATTTTATTTATTTATTTATGTGTGTGTGTGTGTGTGTGTGTGGCCAGCTCAGCCCACCAGGGGGCGGGGCTGGCTGGCATGTGGTGCTGGGGGATTGAACCGCGGTCCCTGTGCTTTAGCTAAGCTTGTTCTAAGTAGGTG